GCTACATTATAAAGTGATGTAAAATGCTAAAAACAGGAACATGTCTGTTGGTTTATGCCATGAACTTAGCAGATGTTTGAAGCCATTTAACATTTTATTTTATTTAATTAATGTATTCATTCATTTAAAAGAAACAAAATAAAAAATAAAAAAAATCATCAAAAGGAAAACATTGAATGAAAAGTGTGCAGAAAGAAGAAAAAAATGCTTATATCTTCCCCTTATTTAAAAATAATAATAATAATAACTTTAAACAATCACTTACATTAATCACTTTAATATCCACTTTAAAGCTAGGAATAAAAACAAAACAAAACATGTTTTATGTTAGCAGAATTTAATTCTAACTTTGAAACTTGTCTAACATTAATACAACTTACCTGAAGTTGCCTTTTTGGACATGCATGCATATATTTATATAAATTGGACTTGAGAGGAGATTATTACAGCCTCATATAAAATCAATGATGATTATGGTATCAGAACTGGATCGGTATCGGCCAATATTCAGATTTAGGTATCGAGATCGGATCAGAAGTAAAAAAAAAGTGGATCGGTGCATCCATAATTCTAAGTAAAAATAACTGTTACCTATTATGGTAAAATCCATCAAAAACTAATGTGGTTAGTAAGTGTCCTCTTTTACTGTTTTAGGAAAGCACTTTTCACATGTTCATCTATATATAGTACGATATATTGCATTAGATGATAAAAAAAAAATCTGTTTTCTGGCCATTTTCACACAATTTCTCTTCAAAGGTTAATCAAACATGCAATAAAAGTACCTTACTTATTAGGAAATGAGTAAAATTTTCAGTGTAGAATTGTCATATAAAGAATAACTGCCTAAATCCCTATGAAGTGAAAGGAGAACATATCCTCATTAGTTAATTTATTCCATCCATCCATTATCTTTACCCGCTTATTCCATTTTGGGTCGCGGGGGTCGCTGGTGCCCATGTCCAGCAATCACTGTGCGAGGGGCGGGGTACACCCTGGACGGGTCGCAAGTCCATCACAGGGCCACATAGAGACAAACGAGACAAAAAAACATTCACACTTTCACTCACACCTAGGGACAATTTAGAGTTACCAATCAGCCTAACATGCATGTTTTTGGTCTGTGGGAGGAAACCGGAGCACCCGGAGAAAACCCATGCATGCACAGAGAGAACATGCAAACTCCACCCAGGAGGCCCCTGGACCGGGGTTTGAACCAGGGACCTACTCACTGAGAGGCAGCAGCTCTACCAGTTGCGCCACCGTGCTGCCCATTAGTTAATTTATTAAAAAGTATTAATATATTTATACTGTAAGAATAAAACAAGTTTGTGCAGAGGGAATTATAACAGCAAGTCACTGATCTTTTAAGTTAGTTTGTAAACGGGTGGAGTCTACGTGTCTGACAATAGTGTATTATTCTGGTAGTTTATATTTATTTTCAGGTATTTTATTTATGGCACCGATTACTTATAACAATCATGTGAGTGTTGTAAATATGATAATAACTTGGAATTATTACATAATGTATCTCAATTTCCATCTTTTACAGCTTATCCTAGGTTGGGTCGCAGATGCAAGAGGTCCAGGAGAGAAACCCAGATATTTCTCTCCCCAGCAAAACTTCCCATCTCATTCTGGGGGACCCCAAGGTGTTCCCAGGCCAAAGAAAATGCGCAATCCTTTCAGCAACTTCTGGGTCTTCCCCAAGGCCTGTGGGACATGCCTGGAAAACCTCTAAAGAGATTCATCCAGAAGGCATCCTAATCAGATGCCCAAATCACCTCAATTAACTCATTTTGATGCGGAGGAGCATTGGCTCTGCTCCAAGCTTCCTCCGAATGATGGAGTTCCTCTACTATCTCTAAGGCTGAGCCCAGCTACCCTGCAAAAGAAGCCCATTTTGACCTCTTGTATCCGGACTCTCATTCTTTTGGTCATGATCCAATCTCCATGACTACAGGTGAGGATTGGGATATAGACAGACTAGTAAATGGAAAGCTTTACCTTTGGACTCAGCTCTTTCTTCTCCCCAACTGACCCAAGTCACACTCTCATTACTGAAGATGAGGCCCCAATCCATTAATCCATCTCCCGTTCCATCCTACCATCACACATGAGCAAGATACCCAGGTATTTGAACTGCTCGACCTAAAGTAAAGTTTACTCCTGACATGGACGTGGCATTTCACCTGCTTCTAGTTGAGAACCATTGCCTCAGACTTAGAGGAACTGACTAGTTCCTCTAAATGATTAGTTTCATTCCAGCTGCTTCACACGCAGCTGCAAACCAACCCAGCAGCACATGCTGAAGGTCTTAGGCTGAAGACGTAAGCAGAACTACATCATTCACATAAAGCAGAGATGAGACCTCAGGTTCCCAAAGCAAACACTTTCCTTGCCACAACTGCACGTTGAGATCTTGTCCATGAACACGACAAACAAGATCAGAGACAAGGGACACCCCTGGTGGAATCCAACCCATGCTGAGAATGAGCTCAACTTTGTGCCAGGAATGTGGACACATCTCCTGCTTTGGTAATACAGGAACTGGATAGTTCTTAAAAGCAACCCAGGGACCCCATACCCCTGCAACATCCCTCAGAGTATGCCTCAAAGAACACGGTCATACGCTTTCTCCAGATCTACAAACACATGTAGACTGGAGAGGCAAACTCCCATGACCACCTTAGCAACTCCACTCCAAGTGTGAAGATCTGGTCCAATGTTTATTGACCAGGACAGAAGCCACACTGTTCCTCTTGAATCTGCGGTTGGACAATTGGTCAGAGCCTCCCTTCCAAAACCCTGGAGTAAACTTTCCTGGGGAGGGTGAAGAGTGTGATCCCATGATAGTTGGAACACACTCTCTGGTCCCACTTTTAAACAATTGGGACCACTACCCTGGTCTGCCACTCCACAGGCATTGTCCCAGTCATCCATGCCACATTGAAGAGATGTGCATGCATATGTATGCACATACATATAGTACATATTAAAATACGTTTTCTCATTATTAAATTTAGTCTCTGTGGAGAAGTTTGCAAGTGGTACTGTATATTTATATTTTGTCAAGCGAGTTGCAGCTTATATTCTGTAAGTTTGGACCATTACAAATTGCATCAGAAACTTTGATAAAAATAAATAAATAAAATTAAATAGCTGCTGTTATATCAAGTCTGTGTGTCCTGTAAACAATGCATAAACTCCTTTTCAGCCATTCTGCTCCACTGCCCTTATCTACAATGGCTTCTATGTTTTTCCACTGAAACATAACTTGCATGGCCATTTCATCTTCAGTATTGATATTTTATATTGACTGCATTTTTTGTTTTTGTCTTGAGACATCCATGCATATTTTGTATGTTTTTATTGATGAAATTTTACAAAGCAATGTATCCCAAGTTCAGCTTGTGTGAAAATGTACTTAATTAAAGTGACAAAACAGCAAAGCAGAAAAAAATACCCACAGACAGACAAACTATCAATAGATCCATACCCGTAATGATGTGTCTAACCACAGAATAAACTACTCCCGCAGGGGGCCAGCTGGCCATTTCATTTTAAGGCCACACATGCACCACAGTAGCAAACATTTATCACACAGCAATGGGATGTTACGAACTCTGGGAGAAAAGAGCATTGCAGATCACACACCAATACACACGCTTGCAAGCAGTCACAAACGTGCACACACACACCTACCCCCCCCCCCCCCCAAACACACACACCAGCTACACAAGCTGATAAATGATAAATACAGATACATGCATACACTATGTAAAGCTGCAAACACATGCATATATACTTCTAATGCTGCATGCTCGCTCACCAAGTCAAACACAGTTGGCTGAGGTAGCAGAGTAAGAAATAGTCACAGCTGCTGGCCTTGTAATGATACCCTGTTGGCTTAATAGCTCTCCAAGACACAGTAGGGTGCAATGGGTCATTGCCGAAACAATTGCAGAGGCATTTCCTGTTACAGGGTGAACATTTAGAGTACCGTTTGCATTATTAGAAACATATAGCACAGTTATTATCTATAGATGGATTCTTCTTTTCATACACTAAATTGGTTACTTCATATTGTGTGCATAACATCATATATGATTAGCACTTTTGTCAATCAAGCATTCAACAATTACACCCAGGAATTGCCATACCAATTTGAACTTAAGGGATGTATAATACAAGATCAAGGTTTCTTTATTGTCATTCACATCATATGTGGTACATGTGGTGGAACAAAAGTGTGTACACAGGGTCCCAGTTATATCCAACAAAAGCATAAATCGTAAAAGAAAAACAGTAATAAGATCTAAGATATGAACTAAGAAATATGCTAAACTAGGAATGTGCTAAGCACTAACAGTACAAAAACAGTACGCCGAACAACAGCAGTATACTGCACATACAACATCATAGAAGCTATTCAAATGGGTTAAAACATCTTGAAATGATTTTGTGTGGACTTTTTTGCTCCTAATTAAATTCCCTTATATATTTTTTTTTTATTGTTCATTCTTACAGTGTGGTGAAATACCTGATGAAGTTGAATAGGAAACAGTGTATCAACATTGCCAATGTCTAGAGTCACTACTGAAAAACCCAAACACCAACTACAGAGAAAATCCAATAATTACCTGATAGGATTCCTATTTCTACCAAAAATCAAATCCACCATAGAAAAACTATATAACATTTACTTCAAAGGGACTTTGACATCCAATTAATCACTTGTATTAAGTGAAAGGCTTGACAAAGAAATTGTGCTGTATAAGGGACCTCATAGATGTGGTAATTGCTGCCAGCTCTGACTTGTAGACACATGGCATGATTCTTTAGGAGGTGGAGATAAATAAGCTTCTTTTAATGAGAGTCTTAATTCATGCTGAGCTTAAACACTCCTGGTTAAGCAACAGAACTTATCTGCTACAAGGATTACACCATTCAGTTGTTTTTTTAAATGTAGACATTTATTTCCAGAAGTATTTTGAACAACAGTTTTTTGTTTGTTTGTTTGTTTGTTTTAATATGCCCACTGTACCCCATTTACAGTATGATGTTTGATCTAACAATCCATACATTATTTGACTGCTGAAAATTTGTAACCTAATTTGGACTCATATCAGGCATAAACCAAAACTCTTGGTCATGTTTAACAACAGGTCACAACAAGCCCTTTTCACTACATTTTGTCATTTCTGGTTGGTTTGTATGATTTGACAACAGGACATATATTAATTCATTTATTTTTATTTGCAGAGTTGAAAAAACAAATTGTGATTGAACATAATGAGCAGATGACAGCTGGCTGCCCAGTGATGATGGACAACTACTAATCAGCAAGACATACTGGACTGATTGAACTACAGAAACACAGATGATACAACACACACACATAAGAATATACACTCACCACATGTTGTGTCAATCTGTTAGAAAACACATTCTAATTTCTTAAGACACAATATTACTACACACATGTCAAAATAAAATAAAAAAAAATAAAAATTTACAAGGCTGGGCTGAACAAAATGACTAAAGAACACATGCCTGAGAAAGAATATCCATTTCATTTCAAAACAAAGAACTTGTGAAATAAGAGACCAAGCAGGACTTACTTAAAGACAAAGGAAGAAAGTACCACAAGAAAGAGAGAGAATGATCCAAAGGCAAAGGCTGAGTGATCATTTGTGTCCCATACTTTACTCTAGTGGCATAGGACTCAATCAAACTCTCCTCATTCTTACCCATGCATTAGCTTAGCAAGCTGAGACCTTCTTTCACTCCCTCAATTAAATGCCCACCCGCAGATAATTAACGACTGTTTTGTCCACAGATCAATAATGGGTCTGTTCATTAAATGTCCCTTTGCTTCCTCAAAAGATCCCTTTTCTTAGCTCACTATTACATCTGAGGAGGTGGTAGAGCCTAACAGAATTTCCATTTTGGTTTCATGTCTGCAGATTATTTTTTTTTAAGCTTATGAGAGACAGGATGGAAGTCAAAGAGGTGATGAAAGCTGTAAGAAGAGCTTTTGAAACAGACTGTGAGGACTAATGGGAACTGTAAATGTAAGATTCATAGCAGCGGGTCTGTTCCTTCACTGTTCATCCCATAAGCATACACAATAACCATACAATAATCTAGGAAAACATTATGAACTGCAAAAGTAGCTCAATGTGGCTCAATTTAGACTAAGAAAGCACTTGTTGAATTATGTGAGCAGATTGGTATCCAGGTTTATCTTTAAGGGTGAATTCTTCACAAACTGTTTAACATTAACCATACGTCTTGCATTCAGAGATCCATTATTATTTACAGTCATCAACTCTGTAGCCTATTGGCATTTACAGATGCTAAGCAGAATGCCTGCTGGTTACTTCTTTAAAATCGAGAGATCAATATACAGCAACAGGAGCTGGATTGTGGAAAAGCATGTCTGGCTGTCAGCCACCTGCCAAAGCTAACACACATAACAATTGGACGGACCACTTCTTCAGTCTCAAGGATACACGACGGGTACACACCTTTTTTATTTTTCAATGTAATGAACAGTGTTGCCTCTCACTTCTTCTATCTGCCATTGAATCACAGCATCTCTGGAGATGGATAACAGGGTTTTAACAAACACCAGTCTCATACTCAGGTATGTTTTTATTGTGTTTTATGTTTTTTTGGCCCCATCTCAAGCAAAGTCTTAAATTTACTGTATGAAATTATCTAGTTTTTGCCCACGATTATAGCCAGGGAAAGTTTGACCAATTTCAAAGAAAACCATATCACCTCAGTAGCTATACACTAACATTTTTCTTTCTAACTTTATTTTTGTTTACTTTTAAACTCACCCTGACCTTACTTTTCCCAGGGGATGGTTGAAATTGCTGACAGAAACCTGACCGAGCAGGTAGCCTTCATAAAGGACACAACACAATAAATTGTCTCTAAAAGGGGGTTGCAGTAGCTTGGTGGTCAGTGATGTGGTCTCATAATTCTGAGTCTACAGGTCTGAGCTCATGTTGTACCAGGAAACAAATTTGGTACAAAATACATTTCTTGTGCGAGTTTGCTCACTGTGGTGACACCATCAGAGGAAAGAACCCACAAAAAAACAAAGTATTTTCTTCAAAATACTTTTGAATGTTCCTTGACAGCTACTGGTACAACATTATATATATATATATATAAATATATAATGGACTGTACTTATATAGTGCCTTTCTATCTTATCAAGACAATCAAAGCACTTTACACTACAATCTGTGTCCTCATTTACCCATTCATACAGAATTCTACTTGATCTCTACAAAGCTAATTGAACAATTCATTCTAAAGAGACATATATGTGCTTTAAATCACATCCATACACCCATCGGACACGCATCAGAGGCAATGAGAGGTACAGTGTCTTGCCCAAGGACACTTTGTCATGTCACTGCTGGTGGATTCGAACCCCCAACTCTTGCATTGGAGGACGACTGCTCTAACCACTTAGCCACAGCTGCCCGTAGTACTGTAACCTTATTGTTAGAGGCAATGATGCACACACATACACTGAATAATGTGCCAAACATCTCATAAAACACTTTGAATCCTAAATATTGTCTTCATCTGTCTGCAATTCTGGTCCCAATTTTTCAGAGCCCATTGAGAAACCTTCCATCCTTGGTCACTTTTGCTGCAGATGGATTCCCTCGTGTAACATTTGGCATTCTCTAAGCAGTGTGCATCCCTTCATTCACTCCCTTGTTCATAAGCTGGTGTAAAATTGCCCCTTTGAAACAGTTCCACTGTGGATTCTCATTCAGCAGGGCAGCTCTTCCCTGCACTGAGTCAAAATCTTTCTTTAATGTCCGTAATGTGCTAAACACTCATACGAGTTCTGTCTGTGCGCTTCTTTAAACTGATGAATGTGGCAGAATGGTTTTGAATTCCCCAGT